AAACACCCATATTAACAATAATATTTACAGCTGCTTACTCCGTCATCATCATCAGGTTTTAATCGATCCTCTGTGAATACAACTGAAAGGGAATTCAGCACAATAAAACAAGGTTCACATTATTGTGTAAGTTGACTACTGTAAGTGTTATAGTGGAGCCTGTCACACATGATGTGAAGACTACTTCAAGGGCACAGACATGGTCTGAGAAATCCAGGTCCTTTATTCTGCTGTTCATCACTCCTGTACTTAATTATAGCTCTCTGTGCCTCACCCTGTGTGTGTCTCTTATCATAACTACCATGCATACATTCTCTTTAAGCCATTAGTCAGGAGAAATTACTAGTTGTATATTTTTTTATATTTTTTTTTAGCAGTTTTCAGCTGTCAGGATTTTATTCTTCTCAAACTTTTCACAGAACAAAGAAAATAATAACGTGAGAGATGGTCCAGTTCACAACAAACTAATCTGTTGGCCAACTGATAGACACAATCAATGGACAACAGTGACCTCACCTGGGATCAGTGGCCAAGGCTCCACCTCTGGGTACTGATGACCCAGATCTGTCCATCTTGATCCTGTGAATAGCACAAACAAACTGCTAACCTTGAACTCAGAGACGTAATAAGTACAGTAATAAGAAAAGTTACTGACAAGGAGCTCATGAAAAACAAAGAGAGGGAGTGAATCAGTGAGGTAGAGAATAGGATGTGCTTGCCTGGGATCTGGAGATGTGATGACTTTCAGTGGAAAACAGAATATAGAAACTGGAATGAATAGCCTTTTGTAAAATTAATAGCCTTTTGACACAATAAGGAGTAAATAACCAGTTGTTTCTCTTTTTGAATTTAAGGAATTCCTGGCAAGACAGTGGATTCTGTCTCTAATAATCCTACAATCCCTTCTGCAGGATTCATAAATCTGTCTCTGTTGAACTGCCTGTCTCAAGGCTGTAAATTCTGGTTTGGATTCTAAAACTGTCCTTCCATGAACTTTCCTTCTCCCCAACTGGAGAATAGGCTTAAGTACAGTGACCATTTGTGTCCATAGACCATCTTGTTCAGTGTTCTAGTGTCGCTGATGTTCAGGAGTGGCTGTGCAGGTATTAGAGTTGTTCTCCCACTTCATCTCCCGCCCTCACAGCCCCTTTCCCTCTTCATGGCCTGAAGGAAAGAGCCTGCAGGGGGCAGCACACAGTCCCAGTGTGTGAACATGAGCCTGAACACCAGGGAGTTTCTGCTAATTTCCAGACTGGAGCAGCTAGAGAGACTGGAGTCACTTTTCTACTGGTGAGTCAGAGCTGCTCTATTGAAGTCACATATTGATCATGTAGATTCTGATGTTGTACGTATAAGGTATAAATCAGAGTATATTGTTACACCTTTAGTAATATCTTTCACCTGGAATCTTCTCATCTCTTACTTTTCCGGTCCTTCACATGTTCAGACTAAAAATTCAATTAAATTACTAACTAAATCCTTCTATGGTCCACTTTAAATCATGAATCTTGTAAAATCAACATGAAGGCAACATAGCCAGAATGTTAACATTTGAAAGGCAGCAGGTTAAAGTAATATTCTAGGTTCAGATAGCTAAACTTCACTCATTAAATGGAGTTTACAGTATATAACGAAAGTTTGGGAGGGATGACAACAGCCACACTCAATCGTTCCCAGCTGTCAGTAATTAGCAATCACTCCCTTCATCCTTCCTCCACCAAACGCTATAAATACTAACACAATATCTCTCCCTCGCATGTGACTTTTGCATGTTTGGGTGCGTCTTTCACATTGCACAAGCCTGTGCTATTTTCTCTTGTTCTCTGTACATTTTCTGCTCCAATGAAGAACCTTTGCAGCGCAGAGGATTCCCCTACACTACTCGACCAGCCAGTTCTTCCAGCTTTTCATTCCAGTGCCTTGTCGCCTCCATCCCTTGCCTTCCTTCCAGCAGGGCTCATCTCCGGCCAGCTCTCTCAAGATTCAACTCCTCGCTGAAGCTCACATTCTGCAATTATCGCCCCCGCCTCACCACAAATCCAGCTCTCCTTCCTCCACTGCGAATTCTCCAAGCAGCCCCTGCCTCATATGTAAACATTCCCGCATCTTGCGTCCTTGTCTTATTCGTGTTTCTGTCCAATTCAGCGCTTATGTCTCGTGTCCTTGTCTTGTCGTGTCTTGATCCTCTGGTGTTCCGCTTATAAAAATAAAAAAATACATTCCAGGCTGCCGCGCAACTGCATTTCTCCCAGGCTCAGACAGAACTGCTCAAGGAGTTAGGTTTTAATCCTGAAAGCGTGCAATTTCAAAACCCGTGTCTCATTTTCCCTGTCCCTGGCTTTCAATTTATCCCCGGATCTATTCTCTTGTCTCTGCTGCTACCTCGGCCCTGGGTCTGTCCGGCGTCCTACCTCTGGCCCAGTCAGTAGCTGTCACATGTCTCACGTTCCCATCTCGTTTCTGTTTCTATCCCTGTCCTATTCAGCTCTGCCACTACCAGCACCACCTCTTTAATGTTAATACAGGTAGGTCCTATGTCTCATGCGTCCGTCTCGACTTCGTGCATTTTTTTTTCCTCGCCCTTTCTGCTACCGGTACCACCTCATCGACAGGTAAGTCCTTCATCTCATGTTCCCATTACATCTGTGTCCTTTACCCCCCATGTCCAATCTGTACCTGCCTCGTACGCTTCCCCATCCCCGGTTTCCAGTTCGGGCTCCAAGTTCATTACTCTTGTCAGCAATCGCCTTATGCCTTGTGTACCTGTCTCGTCGCCTCTTTATCCCTCTTCCCCAGTAGCTCCCTCCCATCCTCCGTTGCTACCAAAGCCACCCCTCTCGATATCCATACAGGTAAGTCCCTCGCCTCATTCCCCTGTCTTATTCGTATTTTTATTACAGGCTTCTGATCCGGCCCCAGGCCCATTTATCTTCCTCTCATCCTCCACGGCTGCCACTGCTGCCTCTCGGCCCCGGGTTCGCCCAGCTTACTACCTCTGGCTACTCAACAATCGCCCCTTGACTCAAGTCCCTATCCCCTGACATCCAATTCAGCACCAGGATCATCTCTCCCACTATGCACTGCTACGTCTCGGATCCAGTACTGCTCTCACTTCACGTAATATCCACACACGTAAATTCCACGAGCTACAGTACTACAGCAGGAGTCTGGAACTATCCAAAAATGCCTAGCTTCCCGGAGGGGGGGCATCCATTGGGCCGGGACCCCCAGAGGTTTATTTTTTCCCAACGAGAGTTTTTTTTTCTTCTCCACAGTGCCCACATAGATCTGTCATAAGGCCACCAATGCTCCAGTTCCAGAGTCCATAAGAGTCCCAGCACTTAGCTCCTTACACTTAATTTATCGTCAGATAGCAAAGGGGTTACTTGCCAAAAGGTTTACATGCCTCCACATTTCCTTCGAGCCAGCCACTCCGTCTGTCCAGGAAACCTCATCAAAGTTAACAGCTATAAAAGGCCAAGTCGCTACTGTTTACCTCCATCTCTTCTCCTGATCACCATTCGAATCAAGTGCAATCAATTTGGAGTCTCCAATTTCCATTGCTACTTTTGGGGGACACAATCGCAATCAAGGGCCTGTATCCATTCAGATAACATCACCACCACTAACCTAATCCAATAATAGCAGCGATTTCTTTCTCATCTACAAAGAGCCCACATGGTTTCTCATCATTTAAGACCCTGTGTTTGTTTGATTCCCTTCTGTCAACACCTCAACGCGTACCTATAATAAGCGACTCGCCAAAGCCAACAGAAGCCGACTTCCCTACAGTTAACTTATACAGGACGCAGACAAGCACTCTGACTGCCCTACTGCTGCAACAATCCATGCCTCAAAGGCCCTACCCTCTCACCTTCTTCAGGCTCTTCCAAATTCTGCATTGGTGGTTTGGGGTCCCACCTGGTTCTTTTTGGGGGTCCTGGCCTTCTTGTCCTACGGCCAGGTGGTTGGCCCTCAGCCAAGCGGGTTAAGCCAACTATCAGCTCCATAATAGTTCATTATGCTTTGATCTTGGGTGTTGTCATTCCTAGTGAAATGGAGTTTATATAAAGAAAGTTCAGGAGGCATGACAACAACCACGCTCAATCATTCCCAGCCGTCAGTGATTAGCAATCACTCCCTTCATCCTTCCTCCACCAAACACTATAAATGCCAAAGGCGATATCTCTCTCCCTCGCCTGCGACTTTTGCATCCCACCTCTACCCCATCTCCACCTCTTCAGCTACCCCTTGGTTACCCTGTTTGGGGGTCCTGGCCTCCTTGTCCTAAGGCCAGGAGGTTGGCCCTCAGCCAAGCGGGTTAAGCCAAATGTCAGAACCATAATAGTTAATTACGCTTTGATCTTAGGCGTTGTCATTCCTAATGAAAGGATATCACTGAGCCTTTCTGGCCTGTTTGGTAGTTAGTAGTTAATTGATCCAAGGGTCTCAGCCACTGTTTTTCTTGAAAGCTACCAGGGCATCAGTATACCCACATGGTGGTGTTGCTTGTTCTACACTCCAACAATCCTTTGTGTAAAGAAGGACCTTCTGTCCTCAGTTTGAAATGCACCTCCCTGCTGTTTTCACTTATCGCCTTCACACTGTGTACAGATGCAGCCATTCAAAGTGCACGGTACAGACACGTACCGCAGGTAATTGGCTGCGGTATCGCGTATCATGACGCAAGATGACGCGGTTCGTGATTGGTTGACCGACAGGGGCACTCGTGGTCCGTTGGTCTGTCGTAGAAAG